CAGCCGCTCTGCGGGAGGACACAGAGAGTAAGAGTGACTGGGGAAACTGAAGCCCAGAAAGGGCAGGGGACTGAAGTTTGTCTGCCGAATGGCTCATTCAGAAACAGACAACTGCGATTGGCGGCACCCCTGGGTCTCACGAAGGATTGGATCAATTAGAGGGCGTGGCCAGCCCTGACTGAAATCCTGAGGGAAGCCACTGAATACTGGTCCCCTGGGAGCACCACAGGCACAATGGGAGGTCTGGGGTCCTCAGTTTGACGGGGCCTATGGTCTCATGGCACTCGGATCAGGAAGACAAGGGCGATTTGGAGGAGACTTACCTTGGCGGGGAGCTCCATTTGTCAGTACAGGGGCCCGGGTAGACTTGGCCTGCTTGGGTGGACGGGGGTTCTTCTTGCGGGAGCCATTCTGGGAGCTCGCTGCTGGCTGGGGAGCTGGGAAAGTAACACGTGACCAGGAAGTCGGGATCTGAGCTATCCTGACTCCTTAGTGGCTGTCAAGGGAATCTCTTGCTGAGGGTCTGCAGTGCTTAAGGATTCCTGGGTAATGAAGGACATTAGCTCGCAGGAAAACATCTGCTGCAAGATGACCTCCCCCCCCCATAGCTGAGACAGACTGGGGTGCAGGATGGGCGGCCTAGTCCTTTGTGCTTACTGTGAGTCACGGGGGGCTCCTCTGAGCTGGGGCTCAGCTCCCCAGACAGCGGCGGCCACAGGTCTCCATCCAACAGGGACGTTGAATCTTCTCTAGAGTTAGCTGCACGCTGACCTATGGGGGAAGACCAAAGTCGTGAGACTGCTGATGGGGGAAGGAGTAGAGAGGCCCCTTGATCCCTGGGACAGAAGCATGACCTGGACGCTTGAATCCCCTAGGACTCAGAAATCAGTGAACGCAAGCTGGAGGGGGCGGGGCGGCACCCGGCTTTATGGGGATGGGGAATTGGGCACCTCTCTGACTTCTGTAAGAACTAAGGACTTGGGGGTTCCTGGGGCCATCACCATATGAGGAGTTTGAGTCTCTTTACCTACACAGACCACGCCTGCGTCCTCCTCATGAGAGCAGATATGGGCCTTCCAGCCCCGGTGGGGACAGATACCCAGCTGTCCCTCGCTGCCCCGGCAGGCCAGCTCACTGAGCCACACCGGCCCGGTGCCCTCCCCGAAGAAGGCACCCCCGGGGGCGGCCAGCGCCCCTCCGCAGCCCAACACCCGGCAGGCCACTGCAGCATCCCGAAGGTCCCATCCGTCATCACACACGGTGCCCCAGCGCCCG